AAAGTTTCATCAGGGTTATTTATTGCATTCAGTCTCTTCACACAAAAATAATTTTATCCAAAATGGATTGGGACAGAAGATCCACATATGTTCAAATGATCTCCTTGAGCTGCAGTTTTTCCAGCACATGTCAGATAACTCATTATTAACTTCATGTGATTTTGTGGGGTACAGATGCCATCGATGCATTGTTTTTAATACTATTTTTTTACACCAAGTGAATACAGACATAGAGGGATGTTGAGATCATATTGTTGTCAGTGATTCTTCTAATAGGTTTGTTTCCCAAGTCATCTTGGCTTCTGTGTTATTACTATATTCTTCCTCAATAATAATCTTATTGGTAACTGACTAACAATCTCCCCTGCCCCTCATTGTTAACCGTGTAAAGCCTTCCTTATGGACTAGTTGTCAGGGATTTGATAAACTAGTTGGCAGGTGATCACTCTCTGTTCCGACATATGTACAGGTAGAAGTTCTCCACCTACCAATATTGCAGATTATTGTCTGCAGACACATTAGTGGATGCCCTGCTTCCCAGGTATAATCTTGGCTTCTTCTTGGGCAACCCAGTCTTGCCTATACTTAGGGCACAGGGAGAGCAGTCTTTACACATGGTCTGGCTAGACCACGGTTAAGCTAGGGGAATGTTTTGAGCAATTGCAAGCTGCCACGTAGGCACAATAGCAGACCGCAAGTGGGATGAAGAGAAGATAAAATCAGTGGATCAACCACAGATCAGGTCAGAAAAATGCTGAGGATAGGCTGGGGTTTTTTAAGGAGTGAGAGAGATGGAAGGAGGTGGAGCTTGCCCTTTCACACCCATACATACAGCTTGTTGTTGTTTAGTTGCAGAGTTGTGTCCAACTCTTCATGACCCCATGGACAACATTCCCCCAGGTTCTCCTATCCTGCACCATCCCTTGGAGTACACCCAACCCCACACCCACCTCCCCAGTGACCCCATCCAGCTACCTTAACCTCTACTGTCCCTTTCTCCCTTTTCCTTCAATTATTCCCAGCATTAGGGTCTTCTCCAGTGAGTCCTTCCTTCTCATTAGGTGGCCAGAATATTTGAGTTTCGTCTTCCATATGTGTCCTTCTAAAGATCAGTAAAAAGATCAGTAAGGGTTGATTTCCTTTAGGATTGACTGATTAGATTTCTTTGCAGTCCAAGGGACTCTGAGGAGTCTTCTCCAACACATTGATGATTCAAAAGCATCAAATCTTCAGTGTTCAGCCTTCCTTATGGTTCAACACTCACAGCCATACATTACAACTGGGAAAAACATAGCTTTGACTATACAAACTTTTCTTGGCAGGGACAGGTTTTTAGTATGCTGTCTAGATTTGCCATAGCTTTCTTCCCAAGGAGCAAGCGTCTTTTAATTTCTTGATTGCAGTCACCATTTGCATATAGCTTAAGCCCACCATTATAGAAAGCATTCTAGGGGTCAAATGGCAGCAGAACAGGGCTGGGAAAATTGAGGAAAACACTTTTCTAACCAGTGTGAAAGCTTTCGTCCCTTTCATCATTAGTAGAAAATGTAAGATAACATGTTTGGGTGAATGCCTATGTCAATGAATTTTCACAAGCTGGTACAGAATAGAGTGCCCAGGCTGCTGACGGGGACTGGTCATTATTCTCACATAATGCTGGTCCTCTACCAGCTCCACCGGCTTCCAGTTGAAGTCTGGGCCCAATTCAAGGTGCTGATTTTGACCGATAAAGCCCTAAATGGCTTGGGACCAGGATACCTGAAGGAACGTCTCCTTCCTTATACGCCCTCCTGCCCCTTAAAATCTGTGGGAGAGGCCCTGCTCCGGGAACCTTTCCTGAAGGAGGGAAAAAGGACATCTACTCAGAGTAGGGCCTTCTCTGCAGTGGCGCCCAGATTGTGGAATGAGCTCCTCAGAGAAGTTTGCCTGTCACTGAGCCTATATTCTTTTTGGCGCCAGGTCAAAACCTTTTTATTCAATCATTATTTTAAAAATTAGTATTTTAATGGTTTTAACAGTCGCTTTTAATTCAATTTATTTTTATTGGTTATACATTGTTTTATTATTTTGTATTGATTGTTTTATTGTATTCTGATTTTAATATTATAAGCCGTCCTGAGATGTCATACATAAAGGACAACATATAAAAGTTTTAAATAAATACATACATACATACATACATACATACATAAAATGTAATTACAAAACTCATACCGCTGTAGTGCATAGATAATTCATGTTCCAATTTAACTATACCCACTTCCCAATTAAAACCTCCATTTTAAAGGAATCCTAAGTTGACAACTACCTCTTAAACTTTGTTTCCCTTTAAAAAAGGAGGGTGGATGTACTTTTAGCATTTCCCAAGCCTCTGGTGGCTTGGCACAAACGCTAAAATTTGTTCCCGCATGGAAACTCAAGTGAGAAAACACAACAGGATCTTGCTGCAGCTGCAGCCATGTAAATCCCGAGCACCCCCTCCTCTCGTCTCAGCAGGGGATCTCCTGGGCCCCCTTGAAATAGGTCCTGACTGGGATAGAAGGATGGGTGTGGACTTCCCTATCATTGTGACTGAAGAACAAAAAAATAGGGTCACATACCCCATGGGTGTGTTCTCCCCCCACCGTATTTGCTGTTTGAGGCATTTTTTTCCTGACTGTTTCATGGTGTGTCAGCATGATGTCAGAATGTACAGCTTGGTTGCTTTAATTCCTCAGTTAATACCAGTCTTGCCACTTTGGGTTACTTTATTTGCCACTCCCTCTGTGCTCACATTTCAATCTGCTTCTTTTACCCACAGCAGGTCATTATTTGTTTGCTTTTGAAGTCTAGGGGAGCTTTCTGGCCGAGATACCTAATATTATGCCTAAGCCAGCCTGAAAAACATAGGATTATGGTTTCCTCTTCTGCAAAGCTTGGATTATATTCAAGTTCAGAGAGAAATAACAATCACAGTTGTTATGACCTGCATGATGGCTAGCCTGTGGTGAAGCGTGGTAGAGGAAATTGGCCCGCAGAGTTGTTAGGGGTGTTCTTATACTCATTTTCCGTGGGAAACAGTATAACTATGCTGTGATTACATCACATTTGGCTAGTGCCATATATTCTATGAGCGACTAGCCATGAAGTGTGTTTGGAAGCTACAATGCAAAATGTGGCAGCCAGGCTGCCAACAGATGCACAGAACCAGGGCCATATTATTCCTGCCTGAAAAGATCTGCAGTGGTTGCCATTTGATATCTGAGGTTAATTCAAGGTGTTGATTTTAATCTTCAAACCCCTAAACAGTTTAGAACCTCACAGTTTGCCTGCTTTATTAATGGACAGAAGGACAGGAGCAGAAGCTGTTCAGAAGAGAAAGGCCACTTGGCAAAGTTGAGTTGCAAGACTTTGCTTCTTTTTCATTTTTTGGTTTGGACAGTCCTTTGCTGCCGCAGCAGCCTCAGCTTTTCTCCCTTTGGATATCTGGCAGCTACACAGGCAGTCATTAAACTGGTGCTGCTTGAGGAAGTATACAGTGGAGCCAGCCAGCCAGGCATTCAGGGGCAGTGTGTTTGTTGCACAATTTGAGAGAAATTGGTGAGAGGCTTCTTACCTCTGCTCACCCATTTTTACCACAGTCCTCCTTTCTTCTCTGATCCTTTTGGGAAGGAAGGAAGGAAGGAAGGAAGGAAGGAAGGAAGGAAGGAGGGAAGGAGGGAAGGAGGGAAGGAGGGAAGGAGGGAAGGAAGGCTCCCTCTCTCTCCCATTTATGGTGCAGTCCTGACCCTGTTTGAATGGGGAAATGGCCTGCAACCTTCCAGCATCCCCACCTAGCCATGCTGGAGGATGTAGAACTTTTTCTGTCTAAAAAGGGATAGGATTGTGCCTACGTTTCTTTTTGGAGGCTTCTCACCTGCCCTTCCTGTAAGACTCCAATAATTTACAATGTTAAATTCAGACAGCAGCACCCCCATCAAAAATAGTTAATGTCTGTTAAGTAACAGTCACAAAATTATAGGTCCAAGTATGGCATTAAGAAAAGAAAATAAGTTCATGTTGTAATTAAGGAACACTTCAAGAGCACAGCAAAGCAGGGGGGATTGAGGTGGGGGGTTAGTAGATACTTTTTTTCTTTTTACCCCTCATGCAAGCAGCTGCATCTTGGGGCCCAGCATACTTAAGTGTAAGTAAAGTGGGGTAGGGAGAGACTGAAAGAGAGGACCGAAGCTGCACACTGCATATGTAGTGTAATGTAGTGATGTATAGTGTGACCCAGGAAGAACAAAAGTCTCAGAACAGCAGCTGGAATTAGGAAGGATAAATCTTCAGGTTCAGTAAATGTACAGAAGATAAGTAACTTCTACTGCCAAGTTCCTTTATATTCAGGTCTGTCTCAGACTACAAGCTGCCCTTGAATTCATAAGTAGTTTAAATTGTGTTTACTAAAGCTATGCATTATTTGTACATGTTTCTTAAATGCTTTGTTTTCCCCCAGAAAAAATACTGTTTTGTACACATTTTTCAAATGCACAATTTCTTTGTGTGTGCGCATTTCAAATTTACACACAATTTTTTTGCATTCTCCCTGAATCTCTTCATATCTCACAGAAATGTAGTAATTTAGTTAGTGAGATGAGTTCCATTCACTTGTAGAGGTTTAGGCAGTGTGAACTGGGTATTCACACATAAAACAGCAATCCTAACCAAGTTTTCAAGGAATTCTCCAGGGGACAAGGGAAAAAAAATAAATTTGATACAAGCCCTTGGAAATCTCAAACTTGTTTAAGTCTCCAGTTTCACTTTTGTCTTCCTCTTTACATGAGAACACAGAAGCCAAACTGGGATTCGGGAGAGATGGGGACAAGGGAGGGTGGTCAGCTGTTGCATGAAAACATCCAAGAACAATTTTTGATAGAGGGCTGTTGTGGAATCAAATTTTCAAAGAAAAAAAGTAGTAGTAATAAAACCTTGGTAAGGAAGACTGAAAACTAACTTTTATCCAAATGTGTCTTTTCTAGTCTCTGTCTGCTGCTGTTTCTTCATATTGTTTCTCTTCTTGTCTGAACTGACTGGATTCATAGCCACTGAAATGTAAGTACAAACCATCGCCGTTTGCTGTTGAGACTACAAAGACAGAAGAGACTGTAGCCAGTTCTGAACTGTGTGTGTATGGAAAAACTTGCCAACTTTGTGTTGGCACTGACTTAAGTAAGCAAGGCATTTATAGATTTCCCATGTACTTGCCTGGCATTTTGATCAATGATTTTACTTTGTGATTTATGATGTGTTTATATGATATTGATTATGGTATTTTTATCATTTCTTCTCTTTCTCCATTTTATTTAATGAAGAATAATGAATAAATGAGTTACTGCCTATAGCGGAAACAAATACAACTTGAAGTATGGACACTTGTAGCTATTGTGACAGTGGCTGCACCCAGGCATTCCCGATGCAGCAGTGCAAGGAGCACTGCAGGACCCCAAAACTGAGCAAAGAAATGTGGTGGAATCCTGTTGTTACAACCCTTCCTTTCCCAAGTTTCACAAGCCCTGCCAGGCATTGTTACTTATGTTTCGCTGAGGTTCCATTTTAAATTAGCTTGCTTTTTTCTTGTCCCTAGTCCACGGAGAAAAATCCCAGTATTAATCACCCAAGCATGATTGCCCTCATTTTGTCCTCCAGGACCTTTCTGTCTAGACCAGAGGTCTCAAACTCGTGGCCCGCGGGCCAATTGCTGGGACGGGCGGGCACGGGGGAGGGGCTCTGCGGCCTCCAAAGCGCCGGTGGTGCCCGGGCCAGCCATGGGATGAGCGGCCCACCACCGCCGTGGTGGTGGAATACTTGATGCGGCCCAGCCTCACCCAGACTCTACTTCCAGTGGCCCCCAGGTAAGTTGAGTTTGAGACCCCTGGTCTAGACCAAGTGGGGAATTGTTTAAGAGTAGATCCCTCAAATGATTGTCTGCTCATATAGCCATGACTCCATTGAGATTTAGCAATAGTTCTGTAGGGATTTGTCCTGTCCCTCTTCTAATATGCTTTTCAAAGTTTGTTAACTTGGGTTCTCATTCAAAGGGGAGAAAGGGCTGGAATGACTTGCCAAGGCCTGCAAAATCAGAGATAAGCCAGGTGGTTGCTGAAAATCAGTCCATTTCTAACCCTGTGGGAATGTTTAGTGAAGAGATGGGAAAGGATGGACCCAACATCATTAGTCCGATCATACAATGTCAGACTAAGACACTCAGTTGAGAAGTGGCACTTGTTCCAGGCAATTGGCCCATAAACAGCAGGATCCACTTCAAAGTTGGAGTCAGCTCTTGTTGGTTTGAAAGGGAAGAGAGGTACTCAGTTTAGAAACAATTTCATATCATTATGCTACATTTCCATAATAGCTGGCATTCTAAACTTGCTTGGGTGCATTGTTATTGATTTCTGCAATACTCTTCTTTTATATCATAAAGCCAGCCTAACTGGCCATCCTTACAATAATAAAGACTTAAGTTAGAAAGCCCTTATCTTGATCTGCTTGGAATGAGTGGAAGAAGACAGGGACACCTCTAATTGAAGTGAGTGTTGGAAGGAAGGACTTTACTCAGAAGTTTCCTCTACCTTTGTCATTTCATATCTGTTTATAAAATTCCTTTTGCCACTGCTAAACTACAACTGAGAGGGAGGGGGAAGATTGTTCCCATATTGCCGGGTCCTTCTAACATGCTTAAAGGGGAGGAAGAAATGGACCAGGGATATATGGTACAGATGCCATAGCATGAAAAGAATGGCTAGCAGCATCGAACATGTACTTTGCTTCTTCCTTTGATGCCAGCAGCACTGGATTGATTATAAGTATCTTGACAGGACAGCTCCCCGATAGCCATTCTGAATTCCTTATGGAACAAGATGGGAATAGTATTTAAAATGGCAGACAAGGGTCTATAGAGTAGGAGTACCATTGTAAGGTCAAGATACTAATTGCTGATACAAGCTTTTTTGTTACCAATCTGGAGGTCTCATTTCCTTCAATTTAGAAGAGCTAGGGAAAATTTCAGTCTTGAAGCTTAACCAGAAGTGCTGGAGGCCAGTTTCCCAAAGCCAAGGTGGCAGATTTCCTGATACAGACTTTCTTATGAATGCCATAAGCCTCAGCAGAGACATATGAAGAAGGCATATTGAGGATAATGCAGAATTATTACAATTTAAAACTGAGAGGTACACATGGATATTGTAACCAAATACTTTCTGCTTGAGAATAGATTGGGAGTAAACATTTTATATTTACATTTGAGGCTTCTGATTCAACATTTCTGGAAAACCATTTTGAGATACATAAATTTGAGGCTGATCAGGATGCCCATCCCAAATTTGGTCTGTGCTGTCAGTTCCAGATGCCTTCTGTTTCAGCACTCCAAAGGTTCTTCTGTTCCTACAAGGCTCAGAAAATAAATATGCATTTGGCTTATTGCTGCTAAATCCACATAATCAGCAAAGGATCTCAGTCTCCCAGTGTCTAGTTAACATTTGGAACTTGCAGATATTGACAGCAGTGGAGCCTATCACAGGACTAGATAAATTTCCTGAAGGTTTAGCTCTTGTTTCTATCATACATAGATTAGATATGGATTTTGCAGTGGCTGAATTTAAAAACATCCAGCAACCAACATTGTGTGAATAGGCTACCTCCCTTTTGCTTCCTTTCCTCAGTCCCACCCCACTCCTACACCCTGCATTCACTCCAGAGAGCCTCCCAGCTTTCCAGAGCAGATGTTCATGGCATTCAGGTTGCTACAGAGTGGAACAGGAGTAGGACCCTCCCAGTTCCTGTGGCTTAAGCAGTTTCTTTAGCAGGGCTAACTCTGGATTTCACCCTGAGCCTTTTGCTCTGACCAGCAGATCTTCAGTGTCACCATTAATGTTCTTGGGATTTCTCTCAACTTTAGTCTTAAAGATTGAGACCTACTATTTGCAGTTTATTATCATTTCCTGAATACACGGTATAGCCTGCGCTTCATCATTGTTTACTGGAGGAATGGTGTTAATGGCACACACAAATTGAACTGACATAGTATAATCCAATAGATATTGCCATAGCTGTCTGAAGTGGAAGTTAATAGCTATGAAAAGCACAATTTTCTTGCTGGTGGCAACCATCTTTTGGACATGTCTCCTAAGGAAAGACTCATCAGGCTGGCTCACTGCTGACCTTTCAATCATGAAGGCTTCTCAAGGAGGCCTGTGAGATTTTAGTAGTTTAATGTTGCATTGGTTCTTAGAGCTGATTTTAAAGTCATTTGGGATGTATGTGTTGTGCTGTTTTAATTTGAAAATGCTATGGTATTATTTTGTTCAAAAACTAAGGCCAAAGGATGGAATAGAAATTAATTTCAGTTCAGCTGTTTGTAATAGCAATAAAATTGAAGAAAATAATTGAAATGTATATTTAGAAAACAAAATGCCATATGCTCATTCCTCAGGCTTTAACATAGTAATTTCCTCTCTGAAGTTCTCTTCCTACTAAACAGAAATCAGCTTCAATTAGTGACACTTAGCATGAACAAATCTGTCCTGGGTAACGAGTTACTCACTGGCATCCGGTTCCCATCATGATGAACTCACTGAGTTGCCGATGACACACAATTCTTTGGGTATTAGACACGAAAGATTTACCCTAGAAGAGAGCACTAGAATGAACAGACTGGGATATTAAGCTCTGACAGATCCTACTCACCTTGGAACTTGACAGTGGCTGAAGTAAATAGAGAGCAGAGTAAATAAAGACTAAGCTCTGTCCTGCCTTCATTTTTTGTGGACTTCCAAATAAATACTGCTGTTCACATTTCTGTGAGTCTGCATTAATCATTCTCCTTTAGATTTTATGTCCATACCACTCCTATATCTGATTGATTTGATCTTCAGAATCTTCTGTATCCCTCTTGCTAGAAAGTTCTAGGAAGATTAGTGAATTTCTGATTACTGAAGAGACAAGCTGTTCTTGATTCTGCTTTTATTAAAAACATATTAGAACTTAAATGCTATCCATAAGCATGAGTTCAAGGAAATGAAGTACATTATGTGTGCTTCTTAAAATCCTTTTATCATTCTGATTAAGTGTAATTGTGCTCTATTTATATTTTTAAAATGTTCTGTGTAAAGGTGCATTTAGTTATTGCTTTTTGCTTTCTCCTTGAAATGTGTAGTGTAGAAAGATTATGGAAGTTGTAATCGAAGGGTTCTGGAGGGTTACAGGTTGGAGAATGTTCTAAGAACATTATGGCTCTTCCCCGTCAACCTTCAATGAAGCAACTGTTCAATGGATATAGGTGTGGTGGGTGGGTATAATCAGGGTGCAGAAACTCAGACCTGGGGCCCATATCCAGCTCACCTGGGTTCCATACCAGTTCTCTGGGGTTCCCTCAAGGACCACACTGCCTTGTCCCTGAACAGTTCTTCAGTGGTTTTCTGGCTTTTGTTCAGCCATATTCCCATTCTGAATTTGAAGGCAGAGCTGCTGGCGGGAAGAGCTTTAAGCTAAGAGTGCTGGCACTTTTGGATGTTGGCCCTGCCTCCTTTGCCTTTGGCTGCACACGGTTTGCCTTCAGCCCCACCCCCTGTTGGAATGTGTCTCTCAATCAGCCTCTCCAAAATGGAATTTGACCCTGGCTAAAAAAGGTTCAATACCCCTAATGTAAGTGAAAGTGGGACTGTGTCATGTGTGTGCATCCTGTCGAAGTTGAGGCACATGTGTATGAAGCTCCTTATGCTTATGCCTTTGAGGACACAGGTTCAGAGCTTGAGGATGATTAGGAAACAGTTTGGCCCCAAGCATCATTTTAAGGACCTGGGAACAGCCAGGAGTGTTTTTGGGAGAAACTGCTGCAGGACCAGTTGGAGAACAGGAGTCAGGTGCCTCTGAGTAAAGCAGTGAATTGTCACTCTAGAGGGAGGATGTTGACATGAGGAGAGTTGGGGGCACTGAACAACGTGGCTCTGGGAGAAGTGCCCACCTGTTGTCCATGCGGGGTGGGCGGGTGGATGCTCAGATGGAAAGTGTCTCAAATGGAGAGTCTGTGCCTCTTGACTCGGTGGCTCAATGGC